GGGGAAGGGCAGGACAGTGGGAGGGAGGCTAGGAGGGCTTTCTCAACTGCAGGTGGGAGGCTGAAGGTGAGGATGAGCCTTGGGGCCTTTGCCAGCAGCCGCCAAACCCGGTGTACCCTCCAGAGCACCTCCTTCTTTCTTCAAGCCCCAGTGCCAGGCCACCTCCTCTGAACAGCTTTCCTGGATTTTAAATGGCTCCCTCTCAGCATTATGCTGTGATCTCTCAACCAATTACTATGTACCCGTCTTATCCACTCACTGGTCTGAGGGCACCCTGACACCTCCAGGAGGGCTGGAGCCTTACCCATATCTTATTACCCACAGGTGCTGCACAGGCCCCCAGGACGAGTCAGGATAGGAGAAGTAGGCAAAGATATCCACTGGATTAGAGGCCTTCTTGGCTGAGCTGAGGCCAGGAGGACCTGGGAGAACGCACTAATCCCAATTAGATCCCAACCCCTCGCCAGCCCTCCAGACATCAGGCCATGCCAGTTCTATGAGGCTGTCTGGGGTACCCAGGATTGATACCGCCCCCCCAGAATGGGATAGCACCTGACCCTAAAGTGAGGGCATCTGGAGATTTGGGGGACAGGTGAGTCAGGATGGGGTGTGGACAACACTGCCTGGGGCTCTCCATTCAACCTTGACTCATCTGCAAACTTCCTGGCTTAGGAGAAACACAAACAAGCCTGCCTCCACCTCCCAACCTACCTGTAGCTTGAGGAATGGGGGAGGCACAAGGAAGGGAACAGGATGGAAGAGGAGGAGGAGGATTCGAGACCAGAAGTTGCTCAATCATCTCCCCCTCCCCACCTGTAGCCTGCTCTTTCTTTCACCTCCTGCTCTTTCAGTCCAGGGGGACCCACAACTGGCACCCCTAGTCCAGTAGTCTCCACCCAGCCCAGTAGCCCCCAGCCCAAGGAGAGAGGGAAGGCCCAGCTTGGATTAAGAGGCCCATTGGGAGTGGACCCACCTCCCAGTGGTACCTCCCACTCCCCCAACCCCCAAACCAGTGCTTGGTGCTCCCTACTCATCTCTGGGGTTCTCATCCTGCTGCAACCTCTAGCACCAGGACTCAGCCAGCCCAGGGAAGTCATCTGTGCCACCTCTGGGGGATGAGGCTGCGCCTAACACACCCTCACACCTCTCTGGGTATCTTCCCCAAAGGGTACAACAGGGGCAGAAGCAGAATGTTAAAATGCCCAAGAGAACAGATGACCCTAGACAGGCAGACAGGGTGATAGCCCCCGAGAGGTCCAGGAAGGAGGCTCAGGGTCCTGCAGGGAAGCTCCAGACATATCTACCCTGGAACATAAACAGACTCCCATATTTTTAATGCCCGGTTAAGCACTTGACTATTAGGTTGTTGCTCGAACCCACGCAGAAGCACCATGGAAGGCAACCTGCTTGTACAGCCTTGAAAACCCTATGGAGCAGCACCCTTCTGCACACACGGGGCCAGAAGTCGGCATCGAGTCAACTGCAACCAACAATGGCACCACATTAACACCGAACACGACGCCCCGCCTCCAGCTAACCTCCGGTTACATATCCTGGTGCCTCATTCAAGGAGGGCCAGGGAAAAGGGCTGCGGGGGCCATCCCCTCCAACAGTGGGGTGGGAGTGGACCCAGGATTCTGAAGGGTGGTGTTTGGAAGCCGGGAGGGGATGAGAATCAGATTTGAGTCTGCAGTCAGAGGGCCTGCAGGGCTGACTGTAGAGCACCCTGCCCTTCAGACCCTCACCCTAAGGCAGGAGTGGAGTGAGGCAGTCAGGACCAAAGAGAGAAGAGGGGAAGAAAAAGGGATCCCAGCTGTGGCACCTAGGCGGCCCCAAGAGATCTGTGGCTTTCAAACTGGGGCCCAGGGAAAGCTTCTGTTGTAGAATCCAACCCCCCAAATCTATTGTTCACTCAACAATGCAACGCCGCGCCACGGCTCCCCGACAGCCTCTCCAGACCCGGCCGCTCCAGCTCCACCCTCCCTCCCGCCCTCCCGGCCTCCTTGTTTACTTCCTGAATCTTGCCCCACCTGGCTGGCCCCAAGGGCGGTGGCAGGGCCCAGTGTTTAAGGTAGACAAAAAACAAGGCCACCTACGGTATTTCCCAGGGTGGGGCAGGGGCCAGAGAAGCAGACCTCAGGCCTGGGAAGTGGAGGAGGAGGAAAGACCCCCATCTCGCGCAGGACTCTGTGCCCCGCCCTCATCAGGATTTGTAGTAGAGGGAAAGGCTTAATTTTGGGGGAGGGAGCTCTTTGGGTGCAGGGCCCAGGTGAGGAGGCGGGAAACCCCCAGGTGACCCAGAGTTGGGGGGAGGACCCAGAGCCCTGAGGCCCCGCCCACTCCCTAACTCAAGAAAGAAAACTCCCAATGGGAGAAGGGGGGGGGGCGCAGCTCTTTTAAAGTTTAATGTGGCAGGAATGCTGGAGTAGCCGGGTTGTGGGGTTAATCATTACAGGCAGCTTGCCCTCATGGAGGGCTCCCCCCACAGCAGGACATAGGGGAGGGGGGAGCAGAGTCCAGGCCAGGCCAGCCAAAAGGGGGCATTCCTGGCGGTGGGAGGGGGGCGAACAGGAGGATTTAGAGGCAGGTGCATTCTCCATCCCTAACGTGCCAGGGAGACCCAGGCCCGGGACCCAGTCTTCCCAATCTCAGCAAATAGGATCCCCTGCCCGACACACTCTCCCCAGGTTCCACGGCATTGCAGACCCGACACACTCTCCCCAGGTTCCACGGCACTGCAGACCACCAACATAACAGCCCTCCAGCCTTCCCAGCCCACTGCCAGGAGGGACCCCATGGCGACCAACCGCATCCCCATCCTTGCCTCAAGGGCAGGATCCTGAGTTTTGGAACAGGCCCTCAGGTCTGCGTCCAGGTGCCACAGCCAAGAGAGATGGGCTCCAGCCAGGTCAAGTCCCTTTCCATGCTGCCCTCCAAGTGGGAGGGGGGCCCGCGGAGACGGTCTTGGGTAGAGCCTTGGGGAAGCCCACGCTGGGGTAAAATCAGGCTCATCCAGGGATTGAGAGGGGGGCAACTCCTCTCCTAGCACCTCCTTCTGGGTGTGTGGGGAGGGGCTCGTTCCAGCAAGAAAAGCAGTGTCCCCCGGAGGAGACAATTCGAGATCTTTCTTCCCATCAGGAGAGAAAGTGCGAGGAAGTACCACAACAGGGACCGGTTTCCATACAGACCCTGGTCCCGGGACTTGCCCGCGCTCCCGGTCGCCAAGATGAAGTGCCCGAGTTTGTCCTTACCTGGCCTCGGCGTCGGTGCACCTGGCTGGCCACTGGTTTAGGGAGGGAGACGCCAGGCCCTTAACTACCTGTCCCCCCCGCCCCGCATTACCCCCGCCCCTGGCCTGACATCACCGAGTGGGGAAGGCGAGAGGGAAACCAGGTTGTCGCCTGTCCGCCCACCGGGGCAGCCAGCCAGTGCCTGGCCCAGAGCCAGTGCCTGGGGCCCTGGAGCGGCTGGGGGCGGGAGCAAATTGTTGCCTGAGACCAATTTCGGTCCCCTCACCTGGAGGAGCCCCAGCAGGGGTAGCAGAACACCGGGTCCAAAGTCTGGCTCTGTCTGGTAGCTGCGGACACCTGGCTTTGATTTCAAGCCCACTCTGGCTTCTCTACAGGTCCTGGGAGGGTGACCTGACTTTGGACGTAGAAATCGCGGAGGGGAGCCCTGTGTGTCCAGACAGCCCAACACAACAAGCCCACGGAAGCTAAAATTATCTTGGGCAGGTGGGGGCGGGGCCTGGGGGCGGAGTCGGGGGGGAGGAAGCAAAGGAGGCGGGGCGGAGACTCCCGGGCACGACGCGTCCTGGGATTGTTTGCGCCTTTCCTAGTCTGGCAGCAGGTGCCCGGGGAGGGTGCAGGTGTCCGGGGAGAGGCGGGAAGGACAGTCGAACCGAAGAGCCTAGAGAGCGAAGGTCCAAGCATACCTGGGAGGGAGGGGCTGGGGGCTGGAATGTAAGGGGAAACGGCTCAGCCTACTCTTCTCCCCAAATCCCAAAACCTCCACTGTTCATTGGGCAAGCAAAGGGGCCTGTCTGAGGTTTTGGGTACCACCCTCCTGGGGCAAAGGACACGGCAAACCGGGGAAGCCAGCCAGAGGGGTGTCTGCAACATGGCCTGCCCCTTGACCTCCAGCCAGTCTGGCTACCCAGACTGCGCTCTGGCCCCTCAGAGCCTCCAGGGTATGTCCTCTTTTCTGAGCATAGTCTAGGGTCTCAGCTACCCCTTCTGAAATCTAAGGGGTTAGGCTGGGTGGCATGGTGGGAGGTGCCACAGTGATCTGTGGAAAGCTCTGGCCTCCTGCAGAGCAATCACTTCCTTAGCTGTCATGTTCAGCCCTCTGCAAGGGGACTTGCAGGAGA